ATATATATCTGTGTGTGTGTTTTGTTTTTCTATTTTTTTTACGTGCCTGGCAGCAGAGACAGGATTTCTGGCCCTTTAAAGGGAGCCTGTATCATGTAGTTTTGTTACTTTTTTATGATTCTTTATATTTTAGATTGGACTTAGTTCTCCGTTTGGTCATTGCATTTTGTTTTCTGTACTTTATTTCTGTGTATTTGTATTTTCCCTTTGTGTTCATACTTTTAGTTTCTCTGTGTTCATTTTTGTCATCGCTCACTTCCCCACAGTGTCATGGTCTGTGTGATTTTTACCTTAGTTTTTCTAGTGTTTCTGTGTTTCCCTGTGTATACCTGCCTCTGTGTTTCGTCCCAGGCACACCTGATCTTCATGTTTCCTCCCCAGGTGTTTCCAATCAGTCCCTCGTTTGCTCACCTTTATATTTTGTGTCCTGTCCTCAGTGTTTGTCTAATCATTGTGCTGCTTACCTCGACYGGTGTGGGTGTCCCCCTGTGTGCCTTGTACTCTTGTTTTCTAAGAACATTTTTTGTGAGTAATGTTGAGCTGCCTTGACAGTTTAATAAAGTTTAATAAAGGCTTGTTTAATAAAGCCTTTTTTCTGCACTTTAGATTTTTGACTGTGCTGTGGGTCAATCTGCCTGCTGAACCTCACAGTTAATTTATTCCTGTGTTTTTTTTTTTTTTTTCAGTCTGCTAGCCATGCCCACTCATCCTTTTCCTCATTCCCAGTTAGCCTCAGCTGTAATCTCCTGCTCATCCAAGTCCTATATTCAGTTTTTATCCACATCAGCAGTGAATTGTTTGTGTAACATCTCAGTTGAGAGCTTCCTCGTGGTTTTCCAGTTCCTTCTGATTCTCAAAACCTCTCCGTGTTTTTTTTAAATAACAATGGCATAAGACCACATTTAAAAGTGTATTATATGATCTAATTCAGTGGTGTCCAAACTCAGTCTTCAAGGGCTGTCCTTAATGATTTTGGCAGCACTGACGCCTCACAGCAAGAAGGTCCTGGGTTCGATTCCCAGTTCAGACCTGGGGTCTTTCTGTGCAGAGTTTGCATGTTCTCCTCATGCATGCGTGGGTCTTCTCCAGGTACTCTGGTTTCCCCCACCCCTAAAACATGCACAATAGGCTGCCTTCAGGCCTCCCTTGAAAAAGATCTGAGATCTCAATGGGACTTGCCTGGTTAAATAACGGTAAATAAATAATGTTTCAGAAGCTGCTCTGGTTCAACACAGCTGAACCTAAGGAGTCCCTGATTAGTAGGCCTCTGCAGACCTTGATGGCATACTGAAGAGTCCTACTAATTAGGCACTCATTAGGTTCAGCTGTGTTGAATCAGAGCAGCGCCTAAAACATGCAGGACACTGGCCCGTGAGGACTGACTTTGGACACCACTGATCTAATTGTTTTGTTTTTTTTTTATTTAAAAAAAGACCACTGTAATTTTTATTAGGGTTGGACWTTGTGGTAAAAATGTCATTGTTATTTTTTATTTTATTTTATTTATTTTTTTACAAAAAATCAATAATCTTTTTATTATTTATTTACCATTATTTAACCAGGCAAGTCCCGTTGAGATCTCAGATATCTTTTTCAAGGGAGGCCTGGGCCTGAAGGCAACCTATTGTACATTATGATTTTATTATATTTTGCAAATAACTGACAGCTTAACCAAAATATTACCCTTTGTAAAAACACTTTCAGGCATCGGCAGAGAAAATCTGGGAAATCATTAAGTTTCATATATCAATTGAATCAATAATGATTCAATCTACATCATACCTGATGTAGATTGAACACAATCATGGATGGGCATTTGATATTGCATCATATCAATCACAGACTTGTGAATTCAACTGAATCAAAATTGTATCATGATCAATTTTGGGATCAAATCAATGTACTATCTTATAATAAAGATAATGATTTACACTGCTAAGCATGCATGGAGGGTTCCACCCCAAATCCAGCACCATGAGATTGTACACAAGCCGTAAGGAAGGAGGCAGAGGACTAGTGAGTGTGAGAGCCACTGTCCAGGATGAAACATCCAAGATCCATAAATAYATCAAGGACAAAGCCTCAACGGACGATGTGCTCAGCGAATGTCTCAGGCAATGGGGAACAGAAGACGAGGTGCTAGAGGTACCATCATGGGAAGACAAGCCCCTACATGGGATGTACCACCAACAAATAACTGAAGTGGCTGATATCAGGAAATCCTACCAATGGCTGGAAAAAGCTGGACTCAAGGACAGCACAGAGGCACTTATCCTAGCTGCACAGGAACAGGCCCTAAACACTAGAGCAATAGAGGCTCAGATCTACCACACCAGACAAGACCCAAGGTGTAGGTTGTGCAAGGAGGCCCCTGAGACAGTCCAGCACATAACAGCAGGATGCAAGATGCTGGCAGGGAAAGCGTACGTGGAACGACATAACCAAGTGGCGGGCATAGTGTACAGGAACATCTGTGCAGAATATGGACTTGAAGCCCCGAGATTGAAGTGGGGAACACCCCCAAAGGTGGTGGAGAATGACCGAGCTAAGATCCTGTG